GAAGTGCCCCGTTCGTAACTGCGGATCCGACATAAGTCGGATCCGCGTAACTCGGGGACTGCCTGTATTTCCAAAACTGCTAAAAATTAAGTTATCTTAAAAAAAATCAAAGTACAAGTTCAACCTCTGGTTTGAGACTCTCAGATGTTGCTGGACTAGTTGTAGCCAACATGCATATTTTGATACTGATTATAAGATTATAAGTATGATACATAATGATTTGATGTAATGACTTGCTTATAAGTTCTATAGCTTCTATTTCTCTCTGTGTATCTCTCATGATTAGATAATGTTCAGTGTAAGGCCTTGCTCCCTGTTCAGTATTGCCAATTAAGTTGTACCCCTTTTAGTTATTGATCTTGTTTGAAATTCTATACAATTGTTTGGTATGAATGGAGGGGATGTGTGTGAAAGATGCCCAGGTGATCAAGGAGAAGTGGAAACTTTGAAACATCCATTGTTTCTTGAGGCTGAATTGAATTGGCAGCATTGACAAACCCTGGAGACAGGCAGACCCCCACCAAGAGTGAGAAACAATGATGAGAACACCGCCTAAGGGCGGATGACACTGCAAAACCCACAGACTCCAACAGATATGGATAAGAAGGGAAGCCCTTGCCATGGGACTCTGGGTTCCGTCCTGCAAGCCAAGCCTCAGGGGAGTCTCAGAGGAACCCCGACTCCTCACTCAGTCAGCCTTGCTTAGCCAGTAGGACTGACTTGAGCCACCATGGACTGGTAACTATGCCCCATCTGCAGGTCACATGTGTGTGTTTGTGTGTGCGTGCGTGTCTTTATAAAGAATTTGCTAACTGCTTCTCTACTGTATTCTCAATAAACACGGTGTATTGCCTTCTCCCTGAAAAAGATCCCGGCGAGTAGATTTTAGCCGGTGCGGTTGCGCAGCGTGGTCAGTGCATGCGCAGCGTGCAGTTCCGCGCGGCTGGCAAGTGAGGCTCGCTGCTGCTTGGTGAGCCCTGGGTATTAATATTTTTTCTATATTGCATTATAGAGCAACATTATACTTCTCTAGTTCTCATTTATATATCAGAAGTCTTATTTGCAGAAAACTTTTCACAAAATCACTATATAATGTACATTTTAGTTACATAACAGGACTATGCACACTACTAGGGATGTGAAGAACTAGTCAACGATCCGATAAGCAAATGCTTATCAGATAGTCTACAAGCTTGTCTATCAAAAAGAGACAACAAGGGGAGGGAGTGCTTCAAAGAGGCAGCGCCACATGGAGCCTGGGACCAGACCCTGGGCTCCACACGGTGCTGCCACTTTGAAATGCCATGTGCAGCTTGGAGCCAGCTAGGGTGTCCTCAGGCTGCATGCAGCATTTCAAAGCAGCAACCCTACACAGAGCCTGGGGTCAACTGGGGAGTCCCCAGCTGATCCTGGGTTCCATGCGGGACTGCCACTTTGAAATACCGTGAAGAGCCTGACGCTGGGTTCTCCACAGTGTTTCAAAGTAGCAGTGCTGCATCGAGCGCAGGGTCAGCAAGAGAGCCCGGCTGATTCTGGGCTCCATGCAGCGCTGCTGCTTTGAAATGACATGAGGCGCATGATACCGAGCTCCATGCGGTGTTTCACTGAACAGAGCCCAGATTCAGTGGGGGAGTCCCCCGCTTACCTTCAGCTCCATGCAGCTCTTTCACCTTTGAAGTGTAGCAACAACCCTAGGGCTGTTTCTACACTAAAAGGCAGAGACACCCAAAATGCATCAACTATTCGGTTAGTCAATTACTCGCAATGTAACATCCCTACACTCTACTGTGCTGTTTAGTCTTATCAGTCGTATTTTCTACACTGATTCCCTCTGGAATG